TGTGCTGTCAGAATTGCCCGCAGCGGTACTTTAAATGGTAAACTGGTTAATGAAACTAGGTTTCTGTATTTTTGTAGAACCTAAGTACAAATCTGACATCTTTTTATTATCGGCGGATGTAGTTTGTGACTTATTCATTTTTACATTATTTCAGTTTATCCGTTATTTGAGTCATTTTTAAAATGTTATCTTAGCGCACATACTCAGCCAAACCGTCTTAAATATGGCATAGCATGCATGAAGCTGCTGCTTATCATAGTAGGTTCACCGTGACGTCACCTGTTTTGCCTTACATCCATTGAATTAGAATTATAATTAATGTTATAATTATATGGTAGCGTTAAAATTGGGACCATTTCCTAGGCGGAATTGCTTCGTTTAAATATCTTGATGAACGAAACTTTATAACGATCAAATGGACAGCGAATTAAGAAGCCATTCGAAAAGCTACTTTCAAGTGAAAAGTCCGTCAAGCTAAAATAGGTATGGAAAGTTTTGGGCGAACTATTGAAATGTCCAGGCGAACTGCGTAGAAATGAGAATTTTTAGATGGATAGATATTTCGAAATATCGGACCAACTTGAGGACATTTTCAGTTGTCAGGTGAATTTCAGGTAGTCCCTATGGCAGACAAAACTGACCAAAAATAATTACGCTGTGAACAGTTTCAGCTATGCTGCATCAGCCTTTATATTTCTTGCATTGTAAAGCCTTAGTAAGCTTTCATAACACGTAACAGGCACCGCGTGAACGCTGTCTCCTTACCCTCTTTTCGTTGGATTGCCTATGTGAAATAAAAGCCTCAAACTGTTCAGGTAGTATTGGACTGTGCAGATATGCGCAGTAGTTGGTAATAAAATGGGTGAGTGAAGAACACTAAAGAAGGGGTAACGATGTGGTTTTAAGCTGAACAAGCGAAGCTGTACGACTTATTTGTTTTTGTGATTGTCATAGACACTAGTGTATCTAGCTCTAATCACGTCTCGGATAGTTACCACCACTCGACCACCTTTAGCCGAACACGCGCCACTAAATTCAGACAGTCTTTCATCGTTTGTATGCCCTTAACCCTTTGGCCTAAAGAGAATTTCAACGTCTGCTGTGAGTGTGTCCCACCAGTTCTTAACTTGTCCGCTTCCTTTACGGGATCATTCAGAAACAAGAATGGCTTTCATTGTAATGGAGGTGATATTGTTTGGTACACGTCTCAGTACTTATCCTAGCCAACGCGGT